TGGGGTCCTAGAAACTCGGAAACAGTGTTCAACTGGACCCAGGTCTGGGACTGAAAAAGCTGGGAGTTCTTCTCCACTGGGAGTGGGCAGCAGAAGATGGAAAGGCGGCAGCAGAGACAGCCCTGAGCAGAGGGTCTGGCTAAAAGCCAAGAGATAAGAAGCAGCAAAGACGGCCTGCAGCCAAGCAGGAAGACACAGAGATGTCTAATGGAGAGAGAGAGAGAGAGAGAGAGAGAGAGAGAGAGAGAGAGAGAGAGAGAACTAAGGTCTACAGAGACAGTTTTGGGGGTAAGAACTGGATCAAAGTCCCCAAAAGCCCTCTGAGAGCCCTCCTAGGAGGAGGGGGTGGACTCCTTCTTGATGGACGTCCTAAAATGCAGCCTGCAGCAGAGAGAGAGAGAGGAGCTAAGAAGCTCAGCCGTCCTGGAAGCTGGAGCGGGACGGCTGGAGGGAATGCGGAGGAGGACCTTGACCCCCGCTGCTGCTGCCAGGCTGGCAGCTGAGACAGAGCAAAGGAGCTCTGATAGGACGCTTGAGGCCAAGACTTTCAACTGAAAGCTGCCCTAACCTTGGGACTCGAGGGAACTCAAGCCCTCGAGGAAGGGACCTTCCTGGGGGTATTCCACCCCATGAGATGATGTGGTGAGGCGAGCTTTTGTCCCAGTAATGGCAGTGTACAGGAGAGAGACCTTTGCTTGGAGCCAAAGGGCTGAGAGAGGTGAGAGGAGACCCCCCCTTGTGTGGAATGGAAAGAGATCCAGCTCCAACTTCAGCTCGGACTGCTGCATGGAAGAAGAGAGACTGCTGCCCTGAGAGTGGAAAGGATCTTTCCTTTTTCCCTTCTGGACTTTTCTTGGAGGGAGAAGAGATTGGATCCATTGTAAATCCTGGTTGATCACAGGAGAGAGAGTTAGGATTGTGTCTAGAATGTATTCTAGTATTTCTTTGTGTCCTAATTGTAATAGAATTCCCTTCCCCCATGTTGAGTCTTGTGTTGTGTCTGGAAAACCCCTCTCCCACTGGGGTGAGTTGTGGGAGGGGGCTTGGACTAAAGAATTGGATTTTTAGGGGTCTCAAGCCACCCCAGGGGGCTATTCCAGAACGGAGAGGATAGGCCGGAATGGGTAGGATAACAAAGTGGCCCAAAGCACATGGGTTGGTCTGCACTGAGCTGGTGTGGGGTGTTGGTTCTTTGGTCGCCAGGGGCTATTCCGGAATGGAGACGATAGTCCGTGACATCACAAAGGGGCCCATGGCACACAGGTGGGGCTTCACTTTGGGGTTGTAGGACGTTGGTTCTTTGGTTGCCAAGGCCCATTCCGGAATGGAGAGGATAGGCCGTGACATCACCAAGGGGTCCAGGACACATGGGTGGGGCTGCATTTCAGGGTGGTGAGGCGTTGGCTCTTTGGTTGCCAGGGGCTATTCCGGAATGGAGAGGATAGGCCGTGACATCACAAAGGCGCCCATGGAACACGGGTGGGGCTGCACTGTGGGGTGTGAGGTGTTGGTTCTTTGGTCACCAGGGGCTATTCCAGACTGGAGAGGATAGGCTGTGACATCCCAAAGGAGCCTTTGGCACACGGATGGGGTTGAACTGTCCCATGGTGGGGGCTTGGTTCTTTGGTTTCCAGGGGTGTGGTGGGGAAACAAGGTGTCTTTTCCACCTGGAGTTCAAAAAATGGTGACCCCCGAGGGGGTGGTGTCTCCCCTGATGTTGACTCAATCAGCGCCCCTGCAAAATTCAAACCTATCACAGCAGAGCGGAAAAGAAGGGGGAGGAGGGAGTTGGAGAAGAAGTGGCCATGTTCTGAGAGCACGAGGGGAGAAGGGGCAGGAGCCCCACTGGGGCCCACGCCCCCTCAGCCCCCCGGCTGGGGTCCTAGAAACTCGGAAACAGTGTTCAACTGGACCCAGGTCTGGGACTGAAAAAGCTGGGAGTTTTTCTCCACTCTGAGTGGGCAGCAGAAGACAGAAAGGCGGCAGCAGTGAAGCCAGGTAAAACCTGGAATGCAAATTTGGTAGAGCAATACAGGAATTAGAGAGTTAAATACAAAATGCAGGCTTTAAGCAAAAGCATAGAGAACTTAGTATTAAGAAACAGCGGAGATAATAAATTCACTAGAATACAGGACACTCTGACATGAAAGAACATGAAGCATGGACAGAAAGAACTAAAAATGCTAGCATACACAAAAAAGGACATATGGAAGAGAAACAAAGGGAGATAAGAAAAGGGACGAGCCAAGAAATCAGGTACTCTTGCCAGACACTGGAAATCCCTGCCAAATACACAAGGAAACTATCCAAATTAGGGAAGGATCAAAAGTTTATGAAGATGATGATGGAAGGACACTGAGTTCATGAAGATGAAGAACAGGAACGACCCCTGAAATTCTCCCCAAATTGGAGACCACACCTCTAACTCTGCCTCAACTCCGCCTGTTATGAATATTAAAAGTGGACGTTGCAATATAATGAATATTCATAATGTGTGATGCAATTGCTTGACAAAAAGCGTATAAAAGGCTCAATTGTAAAGTACTCGAGTCGAGCAGTTTGTCCAGGGCGACCTGGGCTGCTCCCCGGCCGTAAATAAATAAATACCTCCTGCTTATAGACTGAAAATTCTGTCTCTGAGCAGTTTCTCCGTGCCTTCTTTGGGGCACAAATTGGCATCAACTGCTCGTGTGTGAACAGTTTGAAAAGTTTAGTTAAATCTGATAATCCTAGTGCTGGAGCTGACATCAAGGACTGTTTCAGTTGTTTAAACACATCGCTGGTCTCATCTGTCCCCGTTACAACTCCCTCCTTGGCTGTTTTCAGGGCCAAATTGTTGGACTGTTCTTAAAGCCTTGTGGAAGGACTCTCCAGGTTAGTTGTGTTTTCCTCCCTGTCTCAGGATTTTCCCACTCAAAAGGCAAAAATCTCTTGGCTGTCTTTGTGTACAGGAATGCAGAAAAAGGCATCTTTAAGATCAAGTACAGTGAACCATCCTAAATCTTCTGTCAATGTGGTTAACAGTGTATAGGGTAGATGTCCTCAGTTATTTTATTGATGGCCGTAAGAGCAGCTGCCTTGATATATTTAGTGTCTGGAATTATAACTTTTTTTTCTCCCCCCTTGCAGAATTTAATTTCAGCTTCTAATTTTTTCCTTATGTCATCTGTGGACTGCCCCACAAATAAGTACACCAGGTTTTTCTTTCCCAGATCTGACTCTCTGTCCATGTCAGTATATTTCCTGATGACATCCTTCAACCTGTTCAGAAAATCTGTGGGTGATTCATTTGTGTCTTGTCCAACCTCACACATTTTGGACCAGTTTAACGCCTTCGGAACCCCACGCCGGAATCCATAAATTACCCAGTCTTGATAACGTTTCAATGCTTCCAGATTTGCTGGTACATTGGGATCCCATTTGGGATCGTCAGGGGGGGAAGATGTCCTTAATATCTTCCCCTGGAAACTGCCCAGAGGTTTTTAGCATCTCAGTTGCAGTTTGAGCAGCTCTTTTTACCATCTCCTTCTCTGTTTGATCTAATAAAGTGTCCATCATAACTTCCAGGTCATACCAGTCAGGGTTCTGAGTTTTGATTGCTCTCTGGACATAGTTTGCTGCTCTCTCTGGGTTATCTCTATATGCCCCTACAGAATCCTTCCATTGCTGTAACTCAACCAGTGAGAAAGGAACTTAAATAGAACTTTAAATAAAATTTGTGGGACAGGAGCAGCCTTAACTCAATCTTTCTTCTTCCCTTTTTAAAAAGCCATTTCTGATTTTTCTGTCTCTTTTGAGCCTTTGTTTTTCTTATCTCTCCCCCTCCTAATCCAGGGTGTGTTAATAGAAACAAAAACAACTCTGCATACCGGATTTCTTCCCATTTCTGTTCTACATTAAAAAGCAAAATTAATTGCAACACTGTGTCTAGTTCAAAAGAACCAAATTCCAAGTCACTCCTCTCATTTGTCCAAACAGAGGCCAAGCATCCACAGACAGCCTACAAAGTTCTTCCTTTTTCAAAGTCATCTCAGAACTAGTCAAAGTTTTCCAGTGTTTCGAAACCAAACTCAGGGGGAGATTCCTTAAGAATCTTAAAACTTTGAATCCACACAACCCATGACTGCAAAACACAAACAAAACACACACTAGGATTTGAACTCGTTACCTTAAGATTACAAAAGTGTTACTGTAACCTCTCAAATACCAGGCCTGCCTGGACAAGAGACTAAACATTTCTACTGAATTCAAGGGTAGAATTGATATGGGGAGCATGGAATGGGGTAAGAGGGTTGAGGAATGTGTAAACTACTTGTGCTAAAGGGTGAGGAATATAATATAGCTACTTCTAAAATCTACTTCTACTATAATTACATATAAAGCTTAGAAAAATTAGAAAAAAAAAAAAAAAGTAAAAGGGTCTTAAGGCATCAGATTATGCCAACACATTCAGTTTAGAGGAATTACGGAGCTGTGACTGAACCACTTTTGTCCCCTAAGTTTTAATGTAGGCAAATCAGATCTACTGATAGAAATGAATTTATTTAGGGTTACAAATGATCACACAAAAGATCTTCATCAGAATTATTTACTGCACAGTACAAACACTAAAACTACCAGGAGTACAGGATAAGATAGGACAGTGCTCTACACTAAAGCAATTGTTGAAGCAATTCTATTCAAGCTGGCACAAAAGCAATAATTCTTAATAAGAGATGGATGGAACACCCCCAGACCAACGCTCCTGGGGAGATCTCTGCTCTCAACCTCCAGCAGTGACCTTGGGGTTTCCCAGCCAAGGCAGGAATCTCCACACACCCCCCAAGAAGGGTTCTGTTGGAAGAAGCTGCCCCTGGGAAAGGGGACTGGCCCTTTGTGGTCGAAAGGGATGGACTGACAGTCCCTGGACTCCAGGGGTTGCCTCACCATCAAGGGCTTCATTTGGGGTGGAAGCAGCGGCCGAAGCTCTTCCTGCAGTCGGGGCATTCAAAGGGCTTCTCTTAGTGGTGGGTCCGTACGTGGTAGGTCAAGCTAGACCTGTCGGTGAAGCTCTTTCCACACTCCCCACACTTATAGGGCCTCTCCCCAGTGTGGATGCGCTGGTGGGTGACGAGGGTGGAGTTCTGCTTGAAGCCCTTCCCGCAGTCGGTGCAGCGGAAGGGCCTCTCATCCGTGTGCGTCCGCTGGTGCAGGAGGAGATGTGAGCTGGTCCGAAACCTCTTCCCACACTCCCCACACGTGTAGGGACGTTCCCCAGTGTGGATGTGTTGGTGGGTGTGGAGGTGGGAGCTCTGCCTGAAGTTCTGCCCACATTCCCAACACGTGTAGGGCCGTTCCCCAGTGTGGATATGCTGGTGTTGGATCAGGTGGGAGTTCGTCCTGAAGCTCTTCCCACAATCCCGACACGTATATGGCCATTCACCAGTGTGGATGCGCTGGTGGGTGAGGAGATCAGAGCTGTCCCTGAAGCTCTTCCCACATTTCCCACATGGGTAGGGCCGTTCCCCAGTGTGGATATGCTGGTGTCGGATCAGAGTGGAGTTGGCCCTGAAGCTCTTCCCACATTCCCCACACATGTAGGGACGTTCTCCAGTGTGGATGTGCTGGTGGGTCAGGAGCTTGGAGCTCTGGATGAAGCTCTTCCCACATTCCCCACACAAATAGGGCCGTTCCCCAGTGTGGATGCGACGGTGTTCGATCAGGGTGGAGCTTTGCCTGAAGCTCTTCCCACATTCCCCACACGTGTACGGCCGTTCCCCAGTGTGGATGTGCTGGTGTCGGAGCAGGTCGGGGCTCTTCCTGAAGCTCTTCCCACATTCCAAGCACCTGAAGGGCTTCTGCCTGCTGGGAGGCTGCTCAGGGACCACCAGCTCAGAGCTCCGCCTCAAGCTCCGGCCGCCTTCCTGGCACAGGATGGCTCTTTCCTCCTCAGAGCACCCTGGGCTGGCTCCAGCTTTGGAGCCCCTCCTGTGGGTGGATCTCCGGCCCTTTTCCTCCCCGCTGCCTTCCTGCACCGTGGAGCCCTTCAAAACAGCCTCTCCCACCAGGCTCTGCCGCGGGGATTTGTCCTCCGGGCTCTCTGTCCTCAGCTCGGGGCCTGGGGCAGGAAGCAAGAAGGACAGGGAGGGGATTTGCCTCCGGCCCACAGGGAAGGCCAAGGACATCCCCCCAACTCCGGCCCCGGCAGGACGGCGGCGGCAGCGGGGTTGTCCTGCAGCCGGGGGCCATGCTGGGCTGCCAGAGCCAGCACAACACCCGCCCAAAGGGCCACTGACTTCCTCCTCACCTGCCTGGGGGGCCCAAGGCATCTTCCTCTTCCTCGCAGCCTCCTCCTCCATCCGCCCAAGCTTTGGGAAGGACAAATCCTGATGGGGAGAAAACAAGGGCTGAGCGCGTTGGCTTGGGGGTTCCTCCTGCCCAAGTCCATCTCTAGAACTCACCGGGCATCCTGTGACCATAAATCCTCCAAAACACCAAGATTCAGCCCAGAAAAACCCAAACCACCCAGATTCACGCAAAAAGCCCCTCAGAAATAGTGACATGAACCCCTCCCCAAACTGCAAAATGTTAAGATTCAGCCAAAATATACTCCAAAATATACTCCAAAATATGAAGTTTCAGCCAAATAAAAAAGTATTTAATTGAGAGAGGATGAGGAGAGTGAGGACATTTCTTGAGCACTTGATTGAGTTGCTAGATATTAATCAAAAACTGAATTAATGTACTGTCATTTAAAACTCAATTTTTTTCTTCCTAGTTTCAGTGTAGAGAATAAATATGAAATCACTGGACTTCAGGCCTGCATCATTACCACTGTGCTTTGGTGTGCAAATGCTTCCACCTTCCACTCCTCCTCTGCCATCATTTCTGACAATTGGATTCCTCTGCTGTGCTGTGCCAATATTCTGGGTGTGCACTTTCCATGTTTGCAAGGATTAAAGGCTACTTTTTGCCTACCAGTGCCAAAGGCTGGTCTGTGAAGTTTAGCGTGAGAGGATCCTGGGCAGTCAGACACTGAAATTGTTAAGCTGGAACGGGCCATGCAAATGGAATGACAGAATCCATTCTGCTGGCCCAGACACAGAAGCCAATCTGTGGCTGTGGTTCTTTGCCTCACTGGCACCATCCTCTGTGGTTCCTGCTGCCCACCATGGCACTGGCAGCCCCAGGGACACAGGAACGTCCATCCTGTACATGAAGTCAGTGTCAGACTGTCCACAAGTGTTAGCAGGAGTAAAACAGTGCACTGCTGACCTTCTCGAATTTACCTCTGTTAATGTAGGACTTCACTTGGTCAATCTGTGTTCTCTTGCACAGCATTATGTGGGTTTATGATTTTTATTATCACTGCACCAAATTAATCTGGAATGTGTAGTCAGAACAGTAATTACCTGTATTTGTGTATAACTGTGAGCTCTTCTATTTTTTATGCTTTCTGGCAAATTCACTGGCAACTTCTTTCACGACTACACGATGGGGAATGAATGTAACCCCCCAATAGGAAAGCAGTTTGGTTTCAAGGTCTTCTTCAAGGGGCGCCCTGGGATTGGAGCCTGGGCTCTAATTAACCTCTCCTGTGCTGCCACACAACAGGAGATGTATGGCCAAGGGACAAACTCTGTGATCCCTGTCAATGTCCATGGTCCCTGTCAGTGTCCCTCAGGGAAACTGGGAGGAGGAAATGAAGAAACCAGTTTGGAACCAAACTGGTGTTAAAGTGGGAAAAACCTCCTTCCATGGAAATAAAACTTAGACAGTTTTTCCTGGGCTGAACAAGCTCATTCAGGGATGAAGGACTGGGACTTCTGTGGACACTTGTGCTGGTTTCTTTGGACACTTGTGTTCCTTCAGAGAGCCCCTGGAAACACTCTGCTGTTCACTCCCAGTGCCACCAGTGCCTGGGTCCTGTCTGCAGCAGCAGATTGCAGTGGGACGGGAGAAATGCTTTTCTGAGCCTCTGGGCTGGACACAGGCACAGCCTGACCCTGAACCCAAGGGAAACAAAGACAAATTCCACGGCTTTAGCTGGAACAAGGTTGGGGGGGGTTTCCTGAGGGCAGCACTACACCAGACTTCTGTGTGTGTGTGTGAGACAGGCAGAAGCACAAATGCCTGCACAGCCCAGAGCAGTCAGTGTGGGGCTGGGCTTGCTGCTGCACAGACCCCCAGGGAACAGACCCAGGCAATACTTTGGGTTTATTCCTTGCTCTCTGTCAATGTGTTCCACAGGAGCTCTGTCCCCCTCTGTGGCACCGGGTGGCTCAAAGCTGAAGAGAGGGGGGGGTCAAGTGCAAGTTCCCTTCTGAAGTGTGTGTCCCTAAGGAGGACACTTGCCTTATTATTGCTTATTATTTATAATATCTTACAGATCTATCATACAATATCTAAGGATGGATTCTATAGAATATGTACCATATATATGATACAGAATATATCTGATTATTGCTTTATCTGTCTGTCCAGACAGATATTGTGTATGCACAGAGATTGTATTTGAGGGATATGTTCCTCTCAATACCCTGTGAGCTCCACTCCCAAGGCCAGCAAATTCCTGAAGCTCCCCCTTCTGTGCCCTGCAGGTTTTGGCAGATTTGCAAGAGCAGGGGAATCATTCCCTGCAGCCCCTTTGCACTGTAGGAAATGGGAGCACTGGGCACATCCTGCTGCCTCCAGATTCCATTCTGGGGGTGGGAACCACGCTGTGGGGAGCAAAGAAATGCCTGGTTCTGCAGGAGCTGCAGATGCTCAAGGGGCAGCAGGACCAACTCAGGGACCTGGGGGGCTTTGGGGTGCAGGAGGGTCCTGGGGGAGCTGGGGAGGGGCTTTGGGGATTGGGGGTACAGACCAGGACAGACCAGGACATACCAGTACAGACCAGTACCTCCTCACTGCTCCCCAGATCTCTCCTGGAGCTGGGCCTCCTTGTCATGGGACACCTGAGCCTCCCCCAGAGCCCTCCCAGTACAGCCCAGTGCCCCCAGTACAGTCCACTGTGTTCCTGTCCCAGGGTGATCTTTGGGGGGGAGTTGGAAGGGATTTGAAGGGGGGGGGCTGGGGGAGATCTGGGCGATCTGGGGAGTTTGGATGGGGATTTGGGGGTTTTGGGGAGGCTTAGAGTGCATTTAGGAAAGTTAAAAGAGGTCTTAGGGGCATTGGGGCATCAAAGGGATCTGTGGGGGGAGGGGATTAAGGGGAAAATGGAGGTTAGGGGACATTTGGGGGGGGTTAAAGAGGCCTGGGGGGGAGAGAATAGGGGCTGCACCAAGAGCAGGTGAGTCCTGAGACCCCCTGATGTCCTTAAGACCCTCTTGGTGTCCCCAGTTCCCCCCTTGACACCTCAAGACCCCCCTGGTGTCTCCAATGTCCCCAGGGCCTCCCCATGGCCCCAATTCCCTCCTTGGTACCCCCAATTCCACTGTCCCCAAACCCCATCCCTGATGTCCCCAACCCTTCATCTCACTACAGGAGCACCCCCTGGACCCTCTGACCACAAAAACATCCCCCCTCCCTGCCATGCTCACAGAAAGGCCAAGGGCATCTGGGGACACACTGGGAACAGTTGGGGGGCTTTGGGGGGGCACTGGGGGATACTGGGACACACTGGGGGGAACCAGGGGGCACTGGGAGGACTGGGGGGGTTACTGAGGGATTCTTGCAGGGACTGTGGGGGAACTGGGGCACACTGGGGGACACTGGCAGAGAACTCGGGAGTTACTGAGGAATTGCCAGGACACACGGGGGGACACTGGGAGGTTACTGGGCCATACTGGGGGTTACTGGGTGCTCACTGCAGGATCACTGGGCCATACTGGGGGGCAGTTGGAGGTCACTGGGACACACTGGGTGGTTACTGAGGGGGTTACTGGGCCATACTGAGGATCACTGGGAGATCTCTGGGTTATACTGGGG